ATGGACGTCCCTGTTTGTCACTGGCGAAGGAATTGAAAAGGGCTTTGAAGAGACGGGAAGGAGAATGGGTCAAGGCAATGAGAGCCTGGGAAATTTTGGGACATGGGAAATAGGAGAGCTAGGCTCTTCCTTTCAATCCGAGAAGCAGTGGGCGTAACATGCTTCTAGACATCCAATAGGCAGTCATCAATGATCCGCAGAACATGTATGTGCAGATAGACAACCATGGAAAAGATCAATGAAAGAGAAGCGTCCGTGAACGCTTCGAGGCCCCCCAGGCTATGGTACTGACGTCCGACTGTGGAACTATCCTGAGGATGTTCGGTGGGCCCCGTTCGGAAGAAGATAAGCAATACTGAACAATGAGAAGCGTATGCTGGTCGCTGGAAGATGACAAAACCCGCTAACGGTCTTTGTGACCTTGCATTTCTCTTCCTCTACTGGTAGGCTAAGCTTGCTAATAACTCGATTTCTTGCCTGACCTTCCCATTTCATCGCTGTAGAATTAAAGGAGGCTATTCTCTTCCCCTCCAGAAAGGACATGAAGATACAGCCCCCGACCAGAAAGAGAAATCTATTGTACAACATACGCCCGAACCCCAGCCAAAGCCAAACCAGTCCGCTTAGTTGTACTGAGCGTACGCCGCGGTAGAGTTGAACTTGTGGTTACCCTTGATAACCTTGTCGACAGAGTCCAGGAAATCCTTCTCCGTGGCGACCTTCCTCCTCGCGCGGATGGCAAACATGCCCGCCTCGGTGCAGACGCTGCGCAGCTCGGCGCCCGTGGCGTTGGGGCAGAGACGGGAGATGAGCTCCCACCGGATGTCGCGCTCGACCGACATGCTCTTGGCGTGGATACGCAGGATATTTGCGCGTCCCTCGAGGTCGGGAAGGGAGAACTCGATCTTTCGGTCAATTCTTCCTGGTCTCATCAGGGCGGGATCCAGCGTCGAGGGTCTGTTGGTGGCAAACATGACCTTGATGTTACCACGCGCGTCGAAACCGTCCAGCTGGGTAATGAGTTCCAGCATAGTTCTCTGGACCTCGTTGTCACCACCCGCACCGTCATCAAAACGGGCACCACCAACAGCGTCGATCTCGTCAAAGAAGATAATGCAGGCCTTCTTGGTGCGGGCCATCTCGAACAACTCGCGCACCATTCTTGCACCCTCACCAACGTACTTTTGCACAAGCTCGGAACCAATGACTCGGATGAAAGTGGCGTCTGTTCGGTTGGCTACAGCACGAGCGCAGAGCGTCTTTCCGGTACCGGGGGGTCCATAGAGAAGCGCACCCTTCGGGGGGTCGATTCCGAGTGTGACGAAGCGCTCCGGCGAGAGCAAAGGCATCTCGACGACCTCGCGCAGCTTCTCGACCTGCTCTTTGCAGCCTCCCACGTCGCCGTATGTTACGTCGGGCTTCTCCTCCACCGTCATCATGGTGACGCTGGCGTCGATCTTGGGCGGCAGCGGCAGCATAATCTGGTACTTATTACGGTCCACACCCACCCGCATGCCTTCCTCGATATCCGTCGGGCTGACGCGGTCGCCTAACTGGACGACGAACTTGGCGATCTGTTTGACATTGATGACGTATTTGCTCTTGGACTCGTCGCCCTTCTCGTCCGGAATGATCTTGGTGCACCTCGCTACCTGAAGAGGCTGCTCTTCCGACATTCTTTGACGATCGGCTGCGATATCCCAGAGATGGGGTGGTGCGAGACCGGTATCTGATTCCTTGACTCCAATCTTCTCGTCCACGCTTTGCTGCTTCTCCTTTATTTGTTGCTCTAGCTTCTTGAGGGCCGCACCGTATGGGGCCGCGCCATATGTCTTGAGAACCTGGATATCTCTGCATTTGATGGTCAGCCTGGAAATCTCACTCGAGCGAGTGTCGCATATGTTGGGAAGGGCCGACGAACTCATCTGTGAGAGGCGTGATCTTCTTCTCTTCTACTTCGTCATCGGCAAACTTTTTCGTGTATTTCTCCCAGTTTGATCCCGTGGCAGAAGGCTATAATCGAGTTAGCAGGTTGGGCACATGCGGAAAGGATCAAATCGCTTTGCGTAGATGTCGTCGACGTACCATGTTGACGGCAAGTGGGAATCTGGACTCTCTGTCCGACTAGTAGAACTAAAGATATGTGTACTGAGATTGAAGAGGTGGACAAAGTTCGGTAATGGGGCCGTCTATTATCGAGGAAGAATGCGTGCGTTGGTTCGTCTGGGGTATGTATTTGTTTGATGGATTGCAAGAGCGACGGTTGTTGATGTGGTGCTTCAGTGGTTCGCTAGCAGCAGGTCAGGGAAGGTGACAGAGCTGTTCCGTAATCCATGCTGCCTGGCGCGTGTCGGAGGCCAGAAGCTCTGCGAGGCTGGATCTGGGCTAGGTCCAAAGCGGTTAGACCCCACTACTTTAACTCTTGACGCAGGAAGCCAAGGCCACTCTGAGGCCCCGCCTTCGGGCTGGTTTGGCAGTTTGGGGGATGGAAGAACCTCAGCACCCGACAAAAAATTTGGGACCCACCTTGGAGGTACAAGTTATTGGTGAAAGAGTGCAACCTGAAGGTGGGAGCAGCTTAATTTTGGAGGACTGCCTGCAATCATACAACAACCCACCACCGATACGAACGTCGCAACTCTCAGATATTATTTGATATCCAAGACCATCACCTTGACTTTTTAAAACCGAGCGACGTATATCGAACCTTTAAAATGGCGACAGCAACAGCGGGAATCGCTGGTGGAAACACAACCTTCCGTGTATGTGATATCAGAGAGGGGATGGAGGGAGATCCAGCTTCACCGAGCTTTGACTGACAGATTGCTCAGGACAAGGAGAAGCCCGTCGCAGTTCGATCCGCAAACATCGTCGCCGCCAGAGGTATGCGCCGTCATGCGATAGCATCCTTCTACCGCTCATGTCGGTCTAGTCGTCGTATTAACGTGCATCCTTCACAGCTGTCGCCGATGCGATCAGAACCTCTCTCGGCCCGCGGGGCATGGACAAGATGATTCGGAGCGGTAAAGGCGAAACGATAATTACCAACGACGGAAGCACGATGCTGAAGAGCATGTCTGTCCTCCACCCTACCGCGAAGATGCTCGTCAACCTCTCGAACGCCCAAGATATCGAGGCCGGAGACGGCACTACCTCTGTTGTTGTTATATGCGGCAGCTTGCTTGGTGCCGCCGACAGGCTACTGGGCAAGGGCATCCATCCTTCTGTTATCTCCGAGTCTTTCCAGAGAGCTGCCGCGGCCGCAGTCAAGGTGCTGCACGACATGTCACATCCCATCGCCCTCACAGATACATCTGCTCTTTTGCAAGCAGCCAACACCTCTCTTTCGTCCAAGATTGTTTCTCAGTACTCGAATCTTCTAGGCCCCATGGCCGTCAACGCAGTTACCAAGACGATAGACATCAAGACTGCCGACAACGTCGACCTCAAGAACATTCGTATTATCAAGAAAGTTGGCGGTACGATTGAGGACAGCGAGCTCGTAGATGGTCTCGTTCTTACACAACCGGTCCTGAAGAGTGCCGGAGGCCCTGCAAGAATGGAGAAGGCCAGGATCGGTCTGATCCAGTTCCAGCTCAGCCCCCCTAAACCAGATGTACGTCCCCCCTTTCCACCTGGCAGCTCATAAAACCGTGTCAAGCTGACAACTTCCAAAGATGGAGAACACCATCTCGGTAAATGACTACCGGCAGATGGACAAGATCGTCAAGGAGGAGCGCATGTACCTCCTCAACATGGTCAAGAAGATCAAGAAGGCCAAGTGCAACGTTCTTTTTATTCAAAAGTCCATTCTCAGAGACGCTGTGAACGATCTCTCGTTGCACTTCCTCCAACGGCTGGGTATCCTCGCCGTAAAGGAAATCGAGCGCGACGAGGTCGAGTTTATCTGCAAGTCCACCGGCTGCAAGCCCATCGCCGACATTGACAGCTTCACCGAGGACAAGCTCGGCTCAGCCGACCTGGTCGAGGAGGTTCAGAGCTCCGGCAGCCGCATGGTCAAGGTAACGGGCACAAGATCCGCAGGCAAGACCATCTCGATAGTCGTCCGTGGCGCCAACAACCTCATCCTCGACGAGGCCGAGCGTTCCCTCCACGACGCGCTCTGCGTGGTACGGTGCTTGGTAAAGAAGAAGGCCCTCATCGCCGGAGGTGGAGCGGCCGAGATCCAAATCGCCTCGGAGTTGAGCAAACAAGCCCGCACTTTGACTGGAACCGAGGCCATCTGCTGGAAGGCGTTTGCGGACGCTATGGAGGTTATCCCTACTACTTTGGCCGAGAACGCGGGGTTGAACAGCATCAAGGTTGTTACGGAACTGCGTCAGCGTCACGAGATGGGCGAGAAGAATGCCGGCGTGAGCATCAAGAGCGGCGGTGTTAATTCGAATATCGTCAAGGAGAATGTACTGCAGCCGCTTCTCGTCAGCACCAGCGCCATTGAGCTTGCTGCCGAGACGGTCAAGATGATTCTGCGTATTGATGATATTGCCTTGAGCAGGTAGAGTATTGTCTATCAAGGAAGCTATGGGTGGATAAGAAAGAAAAAAAGGATATCCCGGTTAGAAAACTGTATGAGATCGATCCAGAGTCCATAATTATAGTAGATGAATGGTGCATCGCATCGGTGTGGGATGTTTACAAAAGACTTTTCTCTGGACCATTCGTACGCCTAATGGTAGACCCAAGGGGGATGGCATCTCTAAGTAGTTGAATACACTACAAATGAGTACGTACGTTGCCTGGTATTACTGTGACTAGTACTAAAGGTAGAAAGCTCGTACGAATAATAGGTATTTATTATAGTGACTCCCCCAGTCTGCTTGTTTTTCTTTTTTGCCTTTCCATGCCTGCGAACCTTGTCCGGTGAGCAGCCTCTTGGTCTCCATACCGTACACAACCACTTACAAGAAACAAGCCACCTGGACGGGATTTATGTATCCGAGGTAGACCCTTTACTCATATCCAGTTCAGTACACAAAACAGGGTGAATAGTCTAGTGGTTAGGACGGTTCGTTGTGGCCTGGTTTTCCTCTCCCTTCTTCGTTGGAGAAGAGAACCAAAATGAAACCGAACAAACCCCGGTTCGATTCCGGGTTCGCCCAACATCTTTTTGGTTTGCGGTATTTACTTACTTAAAAGTACGTAGATAGATGGGATGGTCTAAACTTTTTTTAAAATTTGAATGTCTTGTTTTGTCTGTACGACCGGCTTATGGTTATCAAAGTTCATTCAATGAATGAACGTAGAAAATAAAGAGGAAAAGAAGTTTCTTGAGATACCGTAACGCTACTTTAACAGAATGAATGACAAGCAAATACTCCCGGAGAAGATAATAGGGGGCAGGTGAGTGTCAAGTCCCATATGTGAAAGAGCCGCGTATATGCTCGCGACTAATACGTATTCCACTATATTTGAACCTTGATTGACACTCTACATACAAAACCTTGACATATAGCACACGAGACTTGTTGTGCATTCAAGGGATATGGAGCTTCTATATAAGTAAAGTCGGGAAGCAGCATCTTGGCAGCGAGACTGTGTGTATGTGTTGCTACTAGTGCCAGGCAGGTCACAACAGCAGAGACATGTCACAAGCTCGTCTCACAGATCTTGTACAATGTCACAGGGTTCACCAAGGGCGAACAAAAGTGCAGTGAGACAGGATTAAGTCCATGTTATTTATTTTATTTTCCCCTTTATTTTATGTTCCGTCCTAGGTAGAAGTCTTTAAACCAGGTGCTGCGTCGAATGTATAGTAGACACCAATAATGTATGATCACTGATACTGCCTATGATTTATTTAAAAACCCTAGACGCAGCACTGTCTGAACAGACTTTTAGCTCCGTTTTATAACACCCATTTAAGCAGAGGCACCGCTGATAAAGAACCACTTGTCGATGGAGGCATCAATCGGGGCAGGGGGGAGGTCCTGGTTGGCAGGGATAGGAGGGAGCTGTTCGGGGGAGACACGGCTAGGCGAGTTGCCCACAGCGACGTTGGTGGTGCTGATGCCACCGGGCTGGGTCCGGCCGGTGATAAGCCTCTCCCAAGCCTCGGCGCACTCGCGAACGACGTCCATGGCGTAGTTCTTGTTCTTGCACTCGCCGGTGAAGGCGAACTGGTTCTCGGGCTTGCCGTCGGGGATCTTGTAGATGCGGAACCACTCGTTGGTGGCCCGGAGGAGGCCGGGGAGGTGGCGCTCGACGTCCTCGACGTCGTTGAGTTTGCTGGCGAGCGGGTCGTTGACGTCAATGACGATCACCTTCCAGTCTGTCTCCTCCTCGTCGAGCAGGGCCATGACGCCGAGGACCTTGACCTGCTTGACCTGGCCGGTGTAGCCGACGAGCTCGCCAATCTCGCAGACGTCGAGCGGGTCGTTGTCACCCTTGGCCTTGGTCTCGGGGTGGACGACGTTGGGGTCCTCCCAGGTCTGGGGGAAGGCACCATAGTTCCAGAGGTAGCCCTTGTGGGGGAAGCAGTTGCGAACGTAGCGGAGCTTGCCCTTCTTGATGTCCTGCTTGATGGGGTTGAGGGTTTCCTCCTTGGAGATCTAAAGAGAGGAAATAAGCTAAGTATGTAATTGTTTGGAAAATCACCATCCAGCCGCATCTCCGATATCGTCATTGCGGGGTATGTAGAGGCTCCGGAAGCTTTACAAGACGGCGACAGAAGCAAGAAGAGAATAGAACTAACCTCGAGCTTGGCATTGGTCCAGCGAGGGATCTCAACAACCATGTTCAGGATGGTCTTGTCCGCATTGGCATAGAGCGGGATGTCGTGGAAGGGCGAGACGGGGACGCCATCCTTCTCGATGTAGACGCGGTGCTCGAGGGTGTAGGGCTGCCCCACCTTGCGGATAGAGTATTGAGACGCCATTGTGTTGTTTTTGCTGTCGTTGGAGGTCGTAGACGAGGACGTCGACAAGTGACGAGCTATTAACGAGGTTCGGGCTCTAGAGACAGTGCTAGATGACCGTAATTGATGCAGAGGGGAGGAAGAAAGAGAAGGTGATGAGGCGGAGGCGGGGTTGTTTGAAAAAGCTGTTGTGGAAGCCGCAGGAAGAATGGCGGTGGGGTTATTTGTTGGTGGTGCTACAAAAGCTGTTACTGGGATTCGCTGCATCAGTCTCTTGGATACCTATCTAATCGGGCTGCATAATAATGAAAACGGGGGACCAATGTGAACAAAAATCTCTCGCGGCGGGCATAACGTATTGGCTCAGCCGGGGAATCAGGGAATGAGGGGGAGGGGTTCAACGTTCTGTGGCAGCTTCCCAGCTACGGGATGACAAGTGTGGATTCAATCTACAGAATGGCGTAATATTCACTGGTGTTCCCTTCGTCCTGCGGGTAAAACTTACAAGAGTTGTCGTTGGCATTGGGTCCATCAGAGCTTAATGAGCCGACCGAGGACTGTAAGCGCATCGATGATTGGTTTGAGCGGGTCAAGTGTGGCGACATGTTGAAGCTGTTACTGGCTTTCCTAGGACCAGCGGTATTAATATGACTGAGGGTCGAGTTGAATCGAGAAGTTGGTCGCAGACGAGAAGGATATGGCGATGTTGACGGTGACGAGCATGCGCATTGCGACTTCGGTAGCAACCGAAGAGCGACTCTTCGAGACTGCATGGACTGCTTGGGGCCGGGAGGCTTGTCCTCGACTAAAATATGTATGAGCCGGCGGGAGCGATACTATAGCGCAATTCACCGCAATGCAACGGAAGAGGAGAGGCAGGCAGCTTCGGCAAGTTCCCTTTCGGCCGCGGCTAGATCGCTCGGTTTTGTCTCTCCTTGTGCTGCACAAGCTTGACGGAGACTGTGCTGTCCACTGCTCCAGCTCTTATGGACCGGGACTGCCCTAGTTGATGAAACGGAAAGAATCCTGGAGAAGATGGAGGCAGTGATGTGATGTCTGCCGGGGGAAGTGGAAACACAAAGCTGATCTTCGGGAGATGCTATGATAAAGGGAAATAAACATAAACAGCCCCAAATCAAGTATTAAAAGCTGCTGTTAGATATAAAATATGAAGCCATCAACCAAATGACGTCTGTCACATGAGAAAATTATTTGTATTAGTTCGCGAACATCGAGCATTGGCCAAGACAGCCTATCTACCCCTGTTGCTCCAAGCCTCACTGTGGCTTGGCATGGTAGCCCCATCAACGCTTGCCCCCTTTTCAGCATCAACAACGGAGCGAGGGCAAGATCCGATACAAACAGTCAAGGACCATACTTTATGAATTTATATGCTTTGTAAATATCCCAATCAGTATCAATCAGTTCATAAAGCCAACTGTCTCCTACTAGCTACCATGCCATGCCATATCATGCATGATGCCGTACCATCCGTCATTCCCATTAAGCCTTTCTTCCACTAACCAAGACGTGACCATATCCTAGGAGCCTAGGGGTAATGACAGACTCTTCCGGCCAGGTCCAACCGATTGAATAACCCGGAATTTGAGAGTTCCTCCTTGTCGAAGTTCCTCTTTTACAAGAAAACGGGCGAAAGAAATCCTTCTAAACTCCAGTGCGCCTCCTCCATTACGCCTCGCCAGAGCAAGACCATCCTCTCCCCTACCGGCCAGTTCAACGACACCAGCCGACCATCCGATTCGTTCATTACGTGATATTAACCCAAAGTCATAAACAGCAGCCCTGCTAAGAGAAATGTGTAGATAACGCGAGCCTCCAAAATAAGATGATTAAATGCATTGTGTTGGAATGGGAGACTGACTGATGAGACGAAAGAGGAAAGTGTGATTCATTTCCGTCCAGGTGAAGAAAGAGGACTTCATCATATCAAGTATTCAGTAAGTGTACTGCTCCCCGTGCTTTTGCTGTGCGTTGCGCAATTGGTGTAATCGTACAAGGTATGATGCAAAGAAAGAGGTACCAAAAAGAAGAGTCGTGTCCAGCAAAAACAAAAGAAAATTATTTCGTATCCCAACTACTGGCCCTTTCGATTTCAAGATTCCGAACAGAATCAGACCGATGTCGGCAGTCGTCGTTTATTATAAATAAAAGGCACCCCGCAAGAAACTCCCGTGAAGAGGCTCTACCGCTCGGGAATCGGCGACTTAGCCAGACGCCCGCCCGCGCTGACCCGCTTCTGTAGGCGTGCTTCTTTTTCTTTCTGTAGTTTGTCCTGCAACAAATTTGAACCCGTATTTGAGGGCGCGAGGCTGCCAGCACCGTCATATGAGAGACCCTCAACGGCTGCCGTCCGCTCGCGCTTCATCTCGATAAACGTCTGTGCAAAACGGCTTAACGGGAAGGCGGGCATGCTCGGTGGTATTTTTGCCCCGTTTTGCATGAGTAATTCTGCGACGGGGAATGGCACCACTTTTTCGGCGGTGGCGGATGAATTTGTCGAAGGCATTTGCGAGGGTGATGCGGGATCTGCGGCCGCAAGTGCCAAAAAGACTGCATGTGTGCCCCGAGACTTGTCTGTCGCATTGGGGTTGGCCCTTAATGCTAGTGCGTAGATGACTTGTTGAATCTCGTTTCTCTTAATCCCGGCCAGTAGGGTCTCTTCCGCAGTTGGGTATCTCGACAGGGTGGACGAGATAGGTTCGATGAAGGCCCTGTCCACGTACTTTGAGGTGATAAACTTCAGGCGCTGCTCCCGAGTCGCCTGAGGCGTGAGCTTCTGTGCTGGATCTAGCCTGGCCTCAAATATCATGTTGGACACTCTGTTGCCAACAAGAAGGAAGAGCTCGATGATATCAGGTGTAAACGATGTTGTGTCGAGTGTGAGCGATCGGACCTTGCTAATGTGAGTTCCCAATGATCTGTGGATACCACTGCACTCGATGCAGAGGATAATTGCCAGATTCAGCGAGACCCATTCGACTTTGTTGCTGCCTCCACAGTCCGCGCACAACACATTGCCTTGGTCGTTATCGCGTAGCATTTGGAGCAGCTTGTCGGAATTATCCTCAAAACTGCTCCCGCGCGCCGTGTTTGGACGGGCACCGACGGTCGTGCGCCGCGAGGGAAACCCGTTCGAGTTGTACTGGTTATGTGAGCTCTTCCCTGTCAATATGGATCCAATATCCCTCTTGTTGAAGCCCGAATCGGCCGGAGAGGGGGCCGGTT